ATAAGTAATTATTATATTTTATTCTTCAAAATAGCCCCCTATAATAGCGATGCACTTAATACATCTTGGATAGTAAGACTGAAACCTTGTTTGAAATTATTAATATTTATCATGAAAATCTTTGTTCGATTCAAAAATTATTCTAATTCTGAAATATTAAAATATCCCAATAATTAGATTTCTGAAATTATCATTTACTCTTACATTTCAGTCTGATAAATAAATAAAGTTAAAAAAATGATATTAAAAGCTTGCAGGTAATCACTATACATTTACAATATCGAAAACTCAAACATTTTTGCTAGAACCAAGAATGCTTGAAAAAAATGGTCCCAAATACACCCTGTTTTCTTAATTCCTTGAACAATGTTAATTTTTTTTTAATTATGTGTACTCGTAAGTATAGTATATCATTTTCTGTCAAAAACTGAGGAGAAATAGTTTCAAAATGTTTTTTATAGTAGTTTCCAAGATAAAATCAGAGGGTGAGACATTAGAGAATAATTTCACCCCTCGAATTTGAATATTAGAAGAAACTCCTGTTCCTCATTTTTGGCCGGTGTATAGCAAAGTTTCATCAAAGTCGGGGAAAGGACATTTTACGGATGTTCCTCGCAAGAAACTATTCCTTCCATTTGTCAATACAATGCAAGGAATGAGGTTCTTGTGCAATCATCGATGCTCTATTTGAATAGCGCGTGTGCAAGACGGAAACGCAGAATTTCCGTGCAATTTCGTCGCGACAAGAAGGAGACCGCTGTTGAATTAACGTTTCGGTACTCTGGTTAAAAATTGTCGTCTTCGATAGCGTTTGTACGACCTCAAACTTACTTAGATACAAGCAATACGTGTCCTTTTTTTAATCAATTACGAGAAAAACAGATTCAAAGGTTTAGTGGGGTTTTATACTTCAATAAACACTTTCTACATCTGTGTTATATTCATAACTCAAATTTAAATTAATGTATTTAATTAATAACAGTAATAAATCAAAACAATATCTTGGAGCCCAAACTTCGTAATAATAAAATAAAATAAAAAACTTTGGCACGAAATAAGCTTTTGATTCTGTTGATTCTGAAATTACTTATTTTTAATATATTTTTTTTAGTAGAAATACTTTTTTGTGAAGTGAGTTATTTAGCTATTGCAAAAGGGATTTTCAAGTCGAAAAAGATTGGGAAACATTGCTCTAACGAACACAACACACTCGTGCCAACGTTTTTTGTCACTATTCGAAACATTTCTGGAATGCAGTTTCTGGTGGAGCCAACGATTTTTGTTTTGTGCTTTTAATGGACGCGAAACATCCATTCATGGCTTTTTGCATTCCTGGACAAAGAAAATATTCGCTGGAAGCGATATATAGCGAATATGGCCGCTGTGGTATCGTTACGGTGTTGCTTTTGGACAAAATTTCTTGAACAAGAAACAACGCGTGTGTCGGTGCATTATCGGGGTAAAATTTCCATGAATTGTCCCTCCGTAAATCTAAACGTTTTTTGCGAATAGCTTCATGAAAACGACGTAAAATGCCCAAAAGGTATTGGCCAAATATTCGGGGAACACTGTACCACGACAATAAAAAAAAACCGCGACTTTTACACGTGATCGAACACGACAAAAATAGTGAAATCACCGGAAACGATTTATAGAGGAAGCATCGTACGCGTATTCCATTCAAAGCGGAATAAAATAACGATCAAAATTGTAAATTAACTGTTAAGTGAGTCGTTGCAAAGAGGAGGCTTTAGTCCTAAAATTTATGGTAATTTCAGTTGCGTCAAAAAATTTGTTAAAACTTTTTCGAAGTAATGGGAACTCAAACACTTAACCTAACGACACTTCATGCATACCAATTCGTACCAAGATCGTTTAGAGTTAAATTTATTCGTAAGATATCTCTCTTTTCTGTCGTGTATCTTTTTCTTAACGCATGCATTTTAAAAATCTGTTCAAAGGTATTCAATAATTTTACTGTAAATATGCATATTTGGTACATTAACTTTATACAGAAAATTGACAAACTACTTCGAAATTTTTTAGAATTTTTTAGAAATTTTTTAGAATTAGAAAACAATTATTTACGAAATAATGCTGGCATAGTAATTACGCGAACTTGCTGTATACAAATTTAAATTCAATTTTAATGAAATAAACAACTTATAGTATAGGACTGCTTGCTGATCTTGACATTGTTTTAATACTGTTGCAAATAGTCTTTTACTGCTTTGCTATGATGACATTTGGTCAACATAGAAAATAAAGTCTGAAGTGTCTTCAAACCAATTTCCAATGTATGTCTCTGAATTAATAATTTCTCTTTCTCCTTTCTCTGAAGTCTGAAGTCTGAAGTCTGAAGTGTCTTCAAACCAATTTTCAATGTATGTCTCTGAATTAATAATTTCTCTTTCTTCTTTCTTCCTTCTAGTAATACTTTAAAACTGTCATTTTATTATCATTTGGGTTATATTAGTCTCCTGTTAGTGTTTCATCAGTTCCATCTACATTTTACAATCCAAAGTCATGAATATTCTTCATAATTTTCATATTTATCCGCCAGATCCAAACATTTTGCTAGAAGTTATACCATCAATTTGGCGCATCTTCAAATGTTTTGCACAAGCATTGCACAATAACTTCCATAAACAAATGGGTCTTCCCGTCCGCGTGTAAAAAAACAAAATAAAAACCCCTTTCGAACAATCGAATATTTGCCATTTCGAGAACAATGTTTGTCTAGCGGGCTCCGCGATGGCTTCGCGCAGAGTACTCCAGAGTTAAGGTCCCCGTCTCGTTCGGCCGTTTCGTCTTTCTGGCTTACGGGCTTTCGCAGATTTCAACTGGATTTGAACAAAAAGGAGCTTACCTTTAAAAAGTTTACGAGATTCGAGTCCCCCGTCGTAGCCATTACACGAGACGCCCGTTCGGGTTGCAGGATCCCGCCCGATCTGTATCCACTTTGCTCGAATTTCAGGAGCACCAGAACGGGCCTCTGAGGAAGCGAGTCATCTGTAATCCGTGAAGCGGCGCGTTACTGACCATCCCTTGTACCAACGCCGACCACGGGACGGCCGAAATTCCTCAAAGGACCGGGGTTAACCACGACGATCTTCCACGAAGACACGCCGACCGCCAGTGTGTGTGTCCACGCAAGCGGATGTTTCGAAAGCGCCACGGTTCGCTGTGACGCGAGGACACCCGGTGGTTCCAAGGTTACCGCGACGTTCCACAAACTTGCACAATATCCACGAAACCGGAAGCCCGGGAAATTCTTTGGCAAATCTTTGGCGTAACCGAAGGGTGAAAACGGCCTCGAGCATCGCCGCGGCGACGGAAGCAACCGACCCCGAAGAAGGCGCGCGACGTCGACGCCCACGTGTCTCGCAGCGAGACGTCCGGGGAACCGTGGAGGCTGCGAAACCGAGCGAAGCGGAATATTAGCCGTGTCACTTAACGATCGTCGAGTCTCGCGTCGTTGCATCACGGCCCCCCCGTGATATCCTTGGAAATTGCGGGACCCGTGAATCTCTACAGTTCCGCGAAGTTCCGTCTTCGAGCCGCGACACGTCCGCGTCGCCAATTAAAACGAACCAAGATGGTCGAGTGCCGGTTTCGCTAACGTAGCGCGGTAATCGTTATTTCCGCGAACGAGAGCAAAGGGACACACCGGGAATCGACGATGAAGGTTGCCGGAGATACCCTCGTCTGCGGTAGGAATTAAACGCGGGGCTCTTTGCGACGGTCGCGGTTCTGAAAGCAGTCGCGAAACTTCCACGAGATCGCGCTAATACCCGGAGCAACGAGCAGGGAAAAATCTTCCCGGTGGTTGAACGCGCGCCGGTGTGCACAACACGCTTCTCATCCGGTGTCTCTGGGATTCAACGAGAGTGGGGGGCGGGGGGGGGGGAAGAAAAAAAAGAAAACCCGGTAGACTCGGCACAGAGGCGGCCGCCGGAGCCTTTGGCTGTGGAACAGAAGGGACGAAAGAACGCTGAAAGCCACTCGAGAAAGGTAGGAGGGGCCCCCGGAACTCGGGGAACGTTCTCGTTCTATGGCCCGGAGCGTCCTGTATTTCTGATAACGTACGAAGCACCGGGAACGTCCGTGAATGAAACTGAACGAGGAGACGGTTAGCAAGAAAGTCCTTTAGCTAGAGGCGCGCCATTAACTTTACCGCCATAGGATATCGTCCCAACGGCTTGCCGCGACGTCCCGCAGACTCCCAACAATATCTCGAGACAGAGAGAAGTCCCCGTCGTCGAGCGTTTCGACACGTGTTTCTTTGACGGTTTGTTCTCCCGGGTGCATCCGGGTGTCTCGAATGTTCCGTGGCGCTATAGACCCGCGGAACAATAGCAACTACGAACGTTCGCGAGCAACTTGGCCCGGGACCGGGCGGAACGTTCGCTGACCCGTACCGGGTTTCGCGATCACGATAAGACCCGAGAAGCCGGCGCCTATCTAGGAAATCGGCCGCTGACGAGCTTCCCGGGCGCAACTTTATACACTCGTCGTTAACGATAGTTGCCGAACGACTCGCCGTCGACGGGAACTCCATAAACTTGAGCAATATCTGCAGGTTCGGATTGATCCCGGCGAGTTGCCGCTCGAAACGCGGATCTTCTAGCTCGCGGCTCCTTGCCGTGGGTTTCCACGGCAACAGGAAAAGTTTTCCTCCGTCGACGGAACGCTAATCAATCCACGGCGACGACGCGTGCAACAATCGCGACGGAAAAGATTTTCAGTGTCGGCAAGAAACGTTCGAACGCCGGGTCGATGGAGTAAACTCCCCCCTCAGTGGATTCCAACGTCGTAGCTTTTTTTCTTCTTCTCTCTATCGGGCCGTTCGACGAGCAGGAACGCGGACAGACATTCCTACGGGGTTCGAGGGCCGCGTTTCGACCGACGATAAAAACTCGAAGCGAACGGTGAATGAGGCCAGGCGACGGGGAGGCAATTGGCGGCAAGGTGGACGAGAAAGGGCGAGGCGGAAAAATATGGTACACGAGGGCACGGGTCTATGGCACGACGCGGGATTCAGCGTATCGAGGTGGCTGATGATCATAATACACGGATACCGGGCCACCACCCTTCTGCTATCCATCCTACTTAACGTGCTGGTGCGAACCGGTGAGTATGTACACCCCGGTTCTCCATTTCCTACGTCCGCGTGTTTCCCTACGGTGGACCTCGAACGAGTGTTTGCGTTTCGTTCGGTGTTACAGCGTTTCGACGCTTACGGGATGCACGGGAAGAAGGAACACTGACGAACGTACACGTAGGAATTTTAAACGATGTTTCTTCTTTTTCTACAGGGCGGAGTCGTGTAACAAGACGATTTTCAATTATTTGTTGTAATACAGGTTGTTCGGACACCCTTGGGAAAAATCAAACGAAAATCAAGAATATCAGATTGTTGATTGAGGCTTCGTTAGAAAGTTATTAAAAAATTAAATTAACAAATTTCAAATCATTCACGGGAAAATTATTTTCGGTTGCGGGGGTCAATTATAATTATTTTTGGTCAATAGACATACCCCCGAAATCCTACGCGCTTTCGAGAAAAAAATTCGAGTAGGTGCTGTTTTTTGGCGAAATTAAAAAATTTCAAATCGTTTTAAAAAAATTATTTTTGGTTGCAGGGATCAATTACAATCATTTTTGGTCATTACACATACCCTCGAAATTCTACGCACTTTCGAGAAAAAAATTCATCACCGAAAATTACATGTCTAACCATACCGTTGATATGTTTCACTGAAATTTCATGTGTATGTTTAAAACATCATAACTTCTGAACGGATTGGAGGATTTTAATGTTTCAAAAAGCAAACAACGCGTATTTTAGTGGAGAATATGTAGGAATTCCAAGAATATTTGAAAAGATGTTTCTTGACCCCGTAAAGTGAGAAAAACCCCATAAAAATGATACAATTTTCAAACAGCCATAACTCCTACAATAGTGAATATATTTCAATGAAATTTTTTTCTTAACTAGAGCTCATGGGCACCTGCCACAAAGTATTAAACAATTTTTCTATAAATATCTCAAAAAGTAGAAATATTGAAAATAGCGTCCATTTAAAATGAACAAGTAAAAGTTTTAAGTGTTTTGTTAATAGTAAAATTATAACTAGAGTTATTATTAATTTTTGTTAATAATAAAACTGATATTCCAATATCACTGATGGGTGGACACGTTTTCTACGGACTATTAAAATTCCAAGCCAGAAGTTTCATTAGTTTTTGAGGTATCCCTTCTGTAAGCTTGGAAAATCTTTCGATGAAAAGTTCAAAGTTTCTGATTGCCACTCTTTGCTGCAATAAAACGTTTTTTCAAACTTCCATAAATTGTTCAATTTATAAAATTTCGATTTAGCTCTCTCCCTCGATATTCTTAAAACGATAAATAAATAAAATCGATATTTAATTCGCGTAAAACGTGAAACTCGCGTCAGCGAAGATTAAAATTTGTTTATTTTTCATAAAACTATTTTCGATGGTTCGTTGAACTTTTTTCGATGGAAACATGACCTCTTTTGAACATTCAAAAAATTGTCTGTTTTATGTAGTTAAAAATAGTTCGAACGGGATCGCGTTTGAACTCTTTTTTATTGGAAAAGCCTCGTTAATCCATCAATAACACTTCAATGGGAATCTATTGAAAAATATGGGAATGAAAAATGTTTTTAACGAACGATTCTCTTTGTGCGTAATAAAAACTTTCGATTGTTGGCTATCGATCGTAAATAATTCAAGGTTTTTGTAACCATCATGTCACTTTCACTATTTATTAAAAAGAGATTTATTTCGTTTGTATAACTATTTCAATGTTACCATCTCTATTTATTATTTATTTCCCAAATATATTTTCTTATTTGTTCATTCAATTATGATGTTTTAAGTTTCTTCTCAGAATATCTTATTTGATACACTGTAATGTTTTACAGATTTACAAGATTATATTTGTTATTAATATTACGTGCTGACTTCTAAATTTTAGAATTTTTCTGCCGATGAAAACATATTTGCAATTATTTTTGTTTGGATTCTATATTGTCAACTTTGTCCTGTACCAATATTAAATTATTATTATAAATATCATGACATGAGAAAGATGAATAAATTAAATATAGCGTCGAGAAAAATTAACTATCTGTGACTGTACGAAAATTTTGATAGGACAAAAGCATAAATCATTCCTTATCTTCATAGCGAGTGGTTAGATATTGAATCGTGAGCAGTTACTATACAGAATGTCCCACTAATCATGGTACAATCGTGATCCTACATGAAAAAATAAATCGAAAATGTAGAATAATAAAATATAATGCTAAAGTTTTAAGATAATCGAATTAAAAAATTTGTCGGATATCTATGCGATTGAATACGATTTGTTTGACACGTCCGACCATCAATCACTATTTCTACTTGAACTGACGCCAAATCGTATTCTACTGCACATGTGTCCCAATGAATCTGCAAAATTGATTTTCTCGAAATTATAAAGCATTATATGAACAAATTATATTCCAGAATTTCGGTTAATTTTGTACCATGATTATTGAAAAACCCTGGATTGCCTTAGATCCGTGAAATGATTTAGATATCATACCACCGGTTGAAAGTTAAATAAGGAAGCCTCAGCCCCGAGATAAAAAGATTTATATCTTCCCATTTCCTATAATCACTTAGATTTTACCTTCTTCTACCTAGTCTAATATCTTTTTTGCTCGTAGTTTCGCTCGAGTGACTTTCAGTTTCAAGAAATACCTGTCGAAAGTAGATATTTTCAAATATTAGGGATAGAAAAAATAGTAATAGAAAAGTAGTTTATTTCTAAAGTTGGAACGATGTTTATATCAATGGCTAGGTCGATATCTGGGTTATTATCGATAGTATCAAAAATTTGTACGGAACAAAAAAGTTTCTTTATTCAATATCCAACAAATTTTGTCGTAAGCACTTCTCCTGTGAGAGTAAGCATAAGCGAGATATCGCGCATTTTATAATTTCCATATAACCGATATTTTAAGTTGGTTTACTTCAGGCTAGCAAACAAACGTACACAACCGAGTTTCATTACTAATTGTTTAGTACTCGCTTCCGTTGCGCAGGTGTACTACGATAAATAAACCTATCCCGTTCACAGGCAAACACGGAACAGAATGGCGAAGGTTTAATCAAAATCGGTTCGGTGGATTTTGAGTTAATCCAGAACGAACGAGCAAACAAACGGATAGATGAGCAGAAATTCTAAAAATGTCTAATCGTGTTTACACGCTCTATGGACTATACGTCCAAGTTGAAATTGCTTAGAAATTTCATACTCGCGACGTTATAATTTTATTTACATAACCGTGCTATAATTGTGCTCGAACGTGTATATTTTTCGTTGGTTACGATGAATGAACTCGTTGCATTGAAAAAGATCAAATAAATTCGGTGTTGCAAACCTGGACAATGCGTAACTGTAAACACAAAAGAGCAGGATGTGGTTCGTAACAAGATTTACCACATTAATTTTCACTCAAGTGCTCTCGTGTCCGATGAATTTTCATCTGGAAAACTCAGACCTGTTTGCAAGGGTGTTGTTTCAAGCTTTCAGCTTATTTTGTCCGCGAAGAATCATTTTTTTTTGTCAGCCAAACTGCCAATAACGGACTGTCGCGTATGTTGTCACTCAGAATTGAATGTCTATGATCACTTTTATAGGTCGTATAGCGCGGGCGTGAAATTCAATTTTACTGCCTTTAACGCAATGATTCCATGCGTCGGCTTTAATCAACAATAAAGAGTTTAGCGCCCAATAACCCGAAGCTACTCTCGCAAAAATAACGCACTTTCGTCTACATTCGTTTGGAATTTCTGCGATGAAATTGTCCAAACACATTGACTATAGTTACAGTTACAAAGTAATTTTTTTTTTTAGTGTGAACTTAAATAAACAATGTGTTAACCATTGAGACAAATTCTATCTTTTCCTAACTGTTCATGTTTTGAAAGTAAGAGTGCATTTTGCAGGTCTTCAGGAAGTTCTTACTGGTATCAATATATACAGTTTCGTTTAAACAAATATCTATAGTTTTCGAATTTCAAAAAATTAATATTTGTTTGTTGATATAAAATAAGACTGGTTTAATATTTCTCTACCGCCAGAAGTAAATTATTCAGACCTCGTATATGCAACAAAATAAAAAAGAGAAGTTTCGAACAAAGGAGTTAAGTATTTGCAGGAATTGCGGTGAAATGTGAGAGAGAAGAACCGTAAAAAAGTCAATGACATTACAAAATACGATCCGGGCAATTGAATTTGCCGGAAAAGTTTTGATGAGGTTTTGTAAAAAAAGAGGGGGAGTGCGATTCCTTGAATTCGTGGCGGAATGGGGAAGCAAGAAAATTCAACCGGTACGGAATGTTGGGTCAAGTAATTAGCTGATCTATTAGTCTGTACACTTTAAAGAGTAGGTCAACTATCCCACGATCTTGCTCGAGTGTTGATTAAATCGAATTGCAGAAATAAATATTCTACCGTGAATTGAAAGGAATGCTGAGAAATATATTTGATATTCTTTAGGGTTGGACCACTCTGGTTAAAATTATGCTAATGTACATATAGGGGTCGTCGTTTAGCCTCGAAACGTGGCACTTCCTTATGGGGTTAGTCTACGTCCAAAAAATTCCTCATTTTTCATTATTTATTTCTAAACGTCCTAAACACTTTTTTCGAGCAAAATTTTTCAGTCGAGGCAACCACATCAGAAATCAGTTTTTCAATTTTTCTTTAAACACAAATAAATTAAAAAATTTTTACAATGGAGTATTATCGGAATATTTAGTCAATAAAATATCCAGATATAGATACTTGTAGATGTCAGTGCTAGAAAATTTATTTTTTCGACTTTCGTGACAGTAATGGTCACCTAGTTTATACCTATAAATAAACGGAGGACAAAATTTTACCTAAAATAGAATAGGATAACTACAAATATAGTCGATAGTTTTGAATATAACGTATAAGAAATAAATTGATTCCATATAAAAGAGTTCTCCAGTATTATAAATATAATTTACACGAGTCTTGCTCGAACGAATCTTTAAATCACAATTAAAAACGGCAATAAAGAACGGTGTAAGTTTTATTCGTC